ATTCCATTTTAAATGTTGACCACCCTTTATTGGAAGAGTTAGTTCAGATGATTTGGGAACAACTATGTCTTTTAAATTCAAAACATTTTGAAATGTGATTTTTTAAATCATTTTAGATAGAAGATGATCTGCTGCTTAATAGAGGAGGTTAGGAATTTTATATTATGCATTTTCAGCCAGTTGGAAATCATACCATAATTCCCATTTTTTCATTTTGAAATAATTCACTTGACGAATTACATACAAAATGTGTAAATGATATCGTCATCATAACATGTCACTCCCCTCTACCTCTAAAAAACTAGTTCATTGACAAACATTGAAAATAAAATAGGACCTANAAAGAACTAAGCCAAAAGAGAGGAAAAAGTAATAAAAATAAAAATTTGAAATAGAAAAGTGTACCTAAATTCATCGGAACCTGGAAGTAGGCATCCTACATGTTTTTGGGGTCGCTGATCATGAATCTGAACTCAAAATATTCTATCACGTCAAATTTTGCAAATAAATTTAAAAAAATGGTGTTTTTAGGTTAGGGTATCTCGAAAACCAGAGCCGATTGAGAAATTGAGCTTACCAAAATCCTTTGGGAAAGTATATTCGTGTTGTTGAGTTAAAATCTTGTCGGCCTGTGTAATTTTCCAAGCTTTACATAAATGTTTATTCCATTTTAAATGTTGACCACCCTTTATTGGAAGAGTTAGTTCAGATGATTTGGGAACAACTATGTCTTTTAAATTCAAAACATTTTGAAANTATATTCGTGTTGTTGAGTTAAAATCTTGTCGGCCTGTGTAATTTTCCAAGCTTTACATAAATGTTTATTCCATTTTAAATGTTGACCACCCTTTATTGGAAGAGTTAGTTCAGATGATTTGGGAACAACTATGTCTTTTAAATTCAAAACATTTTGAAATGTGATTTTTTAAATCATTTTAGATAGAAGATGATCTGCTGCTTAATAGAGGAGGTTAGGAATTTTATATTATGCATTTTCAGCCAGTTGGAAATCATACCATAATTCCCATTTTTTCATTTTGAAATAATTCACTTGACGAATTACATACAAAATGTGTAAATGATATCGTCATCATAACATGTCACTCCCCTCTAACCTCTAAAAAACTAGTTCATTGACATACATTGAAAATAAAATAGGACCTAATACCTTGGACCTAATAGGACCTTGGGGAACTCCCATATACCCACTAAGGGAATAACTTATTATGACTGTAGGTATATGATGCAATATGTAATTTTTAAAAATTGTAAATGCTAAACCACGTGCACAAATACCTTTTAACATCTTAAGCAAAATGCCGCTATTTTCCATGTCAAAAACGTTCGAGAACTGTTTTTTTATTTTAATTTTGGCTGCTTATAATATTAGAAATTCAGTCTTCTGTCACTTTGAAAGTCGAAGTGATTTTTACTTAACAAATTACTTTTACTGAGAAAGTTTGTTGATCATATTTTAATATATTTTTAAAACATATTAGCAACATTACATATTAGTAATTGTTATACATATATTGCCATGTTTTTTTAAAAACATTAGTTTTACTAATATTTCGTCTGGACCTGATAAGGAATAATTTCTTTAAGTTTCTTCTTGTTTCGTTAATTTTTTTGATATATATTTTAATTTTTTTTTTGGAAAAATCAGTTAAATTAAATTTTTGGTTTTCATGTTTTCAGAAATTTTCCATACGGTTCCAATTTATTGCTAATATATATTTTTTAATATTAATTTTTAGTGATTTTAATTAAACTGTTTGTACGATTGCAGTATTTTTGTATTCTCGGAACCGTTTTAATATATTTTATATATATGTAGTTTCAAAGCGTGCTAGAATAATGAAATAAAAGCCTTGTAAAACGGGAAGCTAAACTGGGCCCTTTCTCGAATGCATCCACTCATTCCGTGCAGCCGGGATATTTTAATAAAGCGCCCGTCTGCCAATAAATTGCTCATATTCATCGCGAAAGTACTTGCTCTTAGAAAATTTGTTCCTTGTTGGAGACGTAGATGGTGCTATTTTATGTATAACTGTAGCGAGACGGAATTATCACTGGTGCCTAGTTTGTGCAGCTTCGAGAGAGTAATTAACTTTCGAGGAGAAAGATATAAAAATTTCAGGTACGCCAGTTTCTTTATTTTCAAGTAAGATATATATTTTCTGGGAAGTAATTGCATATCATTGTATTTTAACGCAGAAGTGATACTTTAGTCAGACTCATAGTTTTCAGAAGATGTAAAATAAATTTACATACGACATAACACCATAAATCGAAAGAGTCAAAATTCTTCGAATAGACAACCATATAGAAAGCACCAAAACTTCTGTAAAATATGTCAAAGTACTTCGAAACGGTTTCATAAATCATTAAAATATATTGTTATGATATTTTGAGTTGAAACGTTAATTAGAAAATATAACGTAATTTTGAAATTTTGACATATCCACGTGAAAAAAGTAGAGAAAACTGACAATAGGGATGTGGAATACTAAATATGAGAAAATGAAGAATAAAATTTAGATATAGAATTACGCTAGATAGCACAGTTTGGTTAAAATTTACAAAACAAAAATAGGTGAAATTTGTAGAATGTATAGTGGTTTGGTCTTCAAGTGAGGAGAAAAACTCTAAGTAGCATGGAAAACTTTATTCTACTAATTTCGATGGTAACACGAGACACAACCGAACAGGAACTAGTCTTCAAGACTTCTGGTTCGTGCCTCGAAATGTTTTCGGTTTTTATTCTTGTCCCCAGGTATCTACTTCTTTTACTATCCTATCCTAATTAACACGTATCCGGGTCATTACCTACTCGGTTTGTGCTTATGTACCCTAATAAACAACAACTAATTTATGTTTACAGCCTGCTTATTCTATTCTCATTTGCTACATTTATTTGGGATAATCTCGGATAATTCAAATAATAATTTATATGGCTCGTAAATTCCCAGAAAGCAAAATATATTTATCGGGGCAGGTACTAAATGTAATTGTAGCGTACCGCTACAAATGTTTGAAAATGAACGTAGAAAAAAGATACAGACATCAAAATTTAGAGAAAATTGTGTAGGATCAGAATATGTAATAGTCATGCTGCAAAAAACATGTATAAAGTCATAATTTCCGTTTCCATATAACGACCGTTCAAATAAAAACGTGGTCGAAGTTGGCTCTGACACATTGGACGTAGGGCGTAGCTTATAGCGACCAACTTAACCTCATTTCTCAACGAGCTGTATAGCAGCTGTCACAGCTGTCAGTTTCAATTAGGGAATCCAAACCACGTGACAAAATTGGAATTCAATATGGCGTCGAGGGCAAACATTTGTTTGATTCATATAAATACTTGTGTGTTTTGTTAAGAGTTTGCGTTTTTCTGTTGGCTTGGCTTTGTTTTTTAGAACTTTGACTGTATAATGAGTGTTTCGTGGACTGTAGTTAGGTGTCTTTGTTATTGTCAATCAATATGCAGAGTGATTATTTAAAGAAGCTAATATAAGAATATTAATTAATGTAACGTTGGCATTATAATGAAAAATGCATAAATTAAGGAATTGGAATGTATTGATATCATTGTAAAAATTCTTGATAGACCTAACAAATTTTTCTTGATTTTTAAAAAGTATAATTCCATTCTATTTTCGCTTGTATTTTCTAGTAATTTTCTTCTTTTATATGTCCATGTTTGGCGCCGTTTTCTCGATAAATCATTTAAATGAGGAAAATATTTAGAATTCACTACGTCAGATAAACAATTAAAGCTAACTTGAGGCTTTTTTTCGCGAGTGAAGTTGTATGTTGTGGTATGTGTAGTATGAGTGAGTGAAGAGATTTAAACTATTATATGACAACTAAGATCAAGAGAGATGGAAATAGTGACTACAAGTCAGATATTCACCAATATTCAGTCGCAAAAAAAGCCTATTTGTCTCGATTTCCACGACTTCGACAACCCACTACTTTGCATGTTACCGGCATTAGTAATACATATCGTTGCGACACATTTCAATAAAAGACAAGTTGAACACTTCCTTAAATAAAATACATGAATAATTCCTTACAAAAAACTCGGATTAAACGCTTTTAACTAAAAACTTCTGGACTAACTTCAATGCATTCTCAATGTAAACATAACTTGTTTGCCATCAGCGCCATATTGCTTAAAAATTTGACAGGTCGTTGGATTGCCTAATAACAAAGCGGCGATACAGCGCTTTGACAGATGACGTTTAAGTTAATTTGCTATACGCTACGCCCTACGTCCAAATTTTCAGAACCAACTTGACCGTTTTTATTTGAACGCTCGTTATAACAAACTCATCTGTCTTCAGTTTATAAAAACTAAAAGAGGGCTTGTAGTAGCCAGTCTTTCATAATTTGCCAAACAGTAAGCATCGTTGAGTAGTGCCTAAAATAAACAAATGAAAGTCGAAATTAAGTAAATAAATGGTGAAATTGGTTACCAGGTTAGAAACGTCAAACAGTATTCACAAGGTAGTACGCCATCTATCAAGAGGTACAGTTTTCCATCAGTTCAAATTTTCACAACTAACCAAATACCTACTGGAGCTTTATATAACGGGAACATATGTTAATTAACCGAAAGTGTAAAATATAAACTTGTCAAAAATAAATTAGTGAAGTGCAGTGGACAAATACAACAGCAGGTTAAGTTCAAACCCTTTCTACCAGTGGAAGATTAGACGTATGGGACTATCCTGATGACGATAATTAATAAAAACAAAAAACTTCTTATAAACAAAACAACAATATCAAATCCGCCTTGAAGCACTTAATTTTTATTCTATGTTTTTTGTGATTTCTTTTATCCTTATTTATCTATTACTTTAAGTTTTCTTTATGAGATTTCTCGCCGGTGAAACCTACAACCACCTATGCAAGTTTTAAATATTTCAAATAATTTATAGCAGCAATAACTACCTTCATCTACATACTCACCCCCCGTTCTTGTGTTTCAGGGAGGTCTGGCCTGAAAACGATAGTTTCGGGAGCAATAACATGGCACCGGAGGAGGAATTCCTGGCCTTGAGGGACATCTTTTTTGCTGATTTAGGCGGTGAGTTCCACTTTTTTATTTACTGTTACGGCGCCACAGGAGAGTATCAAACGTGATATATTTTGAATAAGATCCTCGAGGTGCTTGGGAGAGGGCGGAACCGTTCGATATTTTGCTGCTTTCAGATAATATACAGGGCCCGTTACTTAAAGCTTGTGATCACCTTCAGTTTTTAAATTTTGCTGATATTCAGCATTTTAAACAATTTTTAGTTATAGAAAAAAATAACATAGTTATATAATTATCCTGGTGAATTTTTTCTTTAACAAACTGTATAAAAATGTATAATTCCATCAAATAGACTATGAAAAAAATCTTTAATGTAATACAAGAGACATAATTTCAGATGAAAACATGCATAGAAAAAAGATATTGTCTTTCTTAATTCTCTTTGATAGAACTTAAGAAATATTTCGATATGATCGTTTTTCGGGTTGCTATGCGGTGGTCTATGTGCAAGGTTACCGATTGTTATAGAATTACCTTGCACATCTTTAGCATTAGCTAGGAATCTTTCGTCTGCCCTTGTTCTCGGGCTAGGGTCTGTGAGGGCGGTCCCACTCCCAGAATATCTAGGCTCGCCCTGATGTATTCATTTTGATTCTTATTGTTGGTTCATCTAATGTTACTACGGACGCAACTGCTCAGTCGCGATGAAGCATATGCAGAGTCGCCACTGAAGATGCCGGTAGTGAAGAACGGCAAAACGTCTGGTAGGTTTGGAACGGTTTCACGTATTAGAAGCGGTAGCCGCTTTAGAACAAAGAAGAACCGAAATGAACATAAGGCGGCCCGTTGTTGTTCTCTCACAGAACCTAGTTCGAGAACAACAACGGCAACCTCATTGAATCACGTAATATTTGAATTTATTCTCAGTTATTTATTATTTTTCTTCGTCTGAAATCTACATCAGTAGCATTGGGTTTGTACCAAATTTTGTGAAAAAATATTATTAATAGGTGATTAAATTACTATTGTATCACTTCTGTATATTTACATTCTTTTGTCAGAGACTTTTTTTAAATTACCAACAAATAAACAAATCTTAACGTGGCTAAATTTTGTATTAAAATAAAAGCTACAAAAGTTGTGTGGCTAATACTTGAAGAAAACTAACACTGACGATGAGTTTTTCAGTTCGAAACGTTACTAAATAGAAACAGATCGTACAAATCTGTACTCGAAAGAAAATAAATAATACAATTTCGCGAAAAAAACAATCTTGTATTCTAAAAAAATCAAACAGGTGCAAGATGAAACGTCGCTATAAAAATGGCCTTGACAAATATTTCTTTTTTGTACAGATTTTTAAATAACCTACAGTGGAATTCCAAAAAAAAATATGCAGTGATTTCATCTTTGATCCGGCTCACCATTCAGCAGTCAACACAAACAAAAGTATGAGCCATTCGTAAATTCTTCGTATAAAATTATGTGTGCCGTATTCTCCCAGAGCAATCGATATTGCACAGTTTTAGGATATTCTTCTGCTGCGTTTGGCGTGCACCAGATATTCTTCTGCTGCATCAAATTCTAGACTTTTGTTGTTGTTTGGTGCGTGACGTCAATTGGGTTGCGTTTATTCGGTTTCGGGCAATTCTGTCGGCATAGGCATATAGACGTACGGAAGAAGTTTGAGGATATATTTCCGTTAATTTAATTGTGATTGTAATTTATTATTTATTAGTGATTTTGGGTTTGTGTTCTTAAAAATGGAGAGAAATAAATAAATTTTCAACGGCTGTCATTTTGTTAAAATCACTAACACAACGCGGACTAGTTACACAAATATAAATCGCGACCCTTTGATTTTAGATTTTCTTCGGAATATCTGTCTCTCGAAGTGTCATGAAGTCTAACGGGACACGTCTTATCACGGCAATCATCCCAATTAATTGTTCGACCCAGTAACCAAACTTAGTATATAGAGTTTAAAAAATATAGATTCTGAATCCGAGAATATACAATTTCCCAATTCCTGGTTATTCCTGATTTTCACTTTGATAACAATGATAAATAACAAAATAATTTCGCACAAATTTGAAGTTGCAAATGGTGTCAATACTTTATTATCATCTGGTGCTAGTTCAGGACACTTGCGTCCTTTCAATTCGACAGTGCGCTAAACTGTCAGAAAGAAAATTTTTTATTATAGGCGAGCGGTTCACCCCTAAAAAGATGCTTCTAAATGAAGGTAACCGACTAAATTTTTAAAACAAAAACCTACAGCATGAAACTTTTTGATTAAAAAAAGGGAATTTTCCGAAAAATTAAAAATTTTTTATATATTTTTCGGCGTGGTCAGTCAATTGTTATAAACAAAAAAGTTGCAAAAAAATACTCTCCAAATGGACCAAAATAAACACTCTTTGTTCTTGGACAAAAATTCGAAAAATGCTTCGTTTCCGAGATATTCACAAATTAATGTGAAAAAAGTGACGAAATCGACAAACTTTCGGCATTTTTTTTGAAAAGCTACTGAACAGAGTTTAAATTCTAAAAATAGCATAATAATCGGCAGATCTTCTACTTTAATATATATTTTTTGGTATAAGTCAATTATTTTATTGAAGGTCTAAAGCGAGTAAAATAACAGTCGTTTAAAGAGAATCATGATAAGCATACCCGTCAAAATGGCGGCGTCAGTGGCGCTACGTCGGGCGCGAAACACTTCAAATTCAAATTTTCTTTTTACAATATCTTGGACTAGATTATATTTACAGTAAACATAATGTTATTAGGATATTTTTAATCGATATATATCAATAACATTTAATAATTCAATCGGCTAATGCGGAAATAACCATAATTTTCCTACATTTATAATAACTAAATATAATTTTTGCAATTATTTTCATGATTTTTTTAATGCAAAAATTATTATTTATGATTAGAATCATATTGCTATTAATGTTACAAACATTAGCGCCTTACTTACAGATGAATGTCAGAATGTTCCATCCGAAATTGGTGATGAAACGCTTATTTCAACTAAGAATTTGTCAAAAATAAAAAATAAATAAGATAATTAAAATTAAAAAAAAATTAAATTTGAAGTGTTATCATAATTTTCTTTAAAAGACTTTTTTCAATCGCTTTAGACCTTCAATAAAATGATTGACCCATACCAAAAAAATATATCTTAAAGTAGAAAATCTGCCGATTATTATGCTTTTTTAAAATTCAAATCGGTTCAGTAGTTTTTGAGAAAAAATTCCGTTTTGTCGATTTTGTCACTTTTTTCACATTAAATTGTAAATATCTCGGAAACGAAGCATTTTTCGAATTTTTACAACAAACAAAGTGTTTATTTTGGTCCATTTGGAGAGTAATTTTTTTTACAACTATTTTATTTATAACAATTGACTGACCATGCCGAAAAATATAAAAAAAAATTTAAATTATCAGAAAAATACACTATTAAATAAAAAAGTTTCATGTTGTAGGTTTTTGTTTTAAAAATTTAGTCGGTTACCTTCATTTAGAAGCATCTTTTTAGGGGTGAACCGCTCGCCTATAATACTATAATAAAAAATTTTCTTTCTGACAGTTTAGATCACAAAAACTTTTCAAAGCCATTCGGCGAGTAATTTTTTTACAACTTTTTTGTTTATAACAATTGACTGACCACGCCGAAAAATATAAAAAAAATATGCAAATTATCAGAAAAATACACTATAAAATAAAAATAAAAAATGTTTCATGCTATAGGTTTTTATTTAAAAATTTTGTCGGTTTTTTTTAGGGGTGAACCGCTTGCCTATTATAACAGTCTATCAGCATGCGTTCAAAAAGAAATTCTTTAAGTTAATTGCAATGTATGTCAATGCAACTTTTTAAAATTGGATTGTGTGCCTTCTGGGAAATATTCAGATTGAATTATAAAGCTTTTATAATTGTTAAGAACTACTTTATGTTTTGGTTGTATAATTTCTTAATCGTTACAAAACAATATTTTTTTGGGTGCGACTGTACTTACTGAACAGTTGTCACGATGCAGTTCTGTTTTAGTTCAACTTGAAAGGATTCGGTGCCACTTATAGAAGTACACCCTGTACAATAAAATTTTCACGACGTCCCTTTTAATAATGAAGACGTCCCTTATCGATTGCCCCCGGCCCCGTGCAAGTCCGAAGGAGGGTTGGCCCGGGGATAGGTTAAATATTTGAAAAATTCCTTTGATGTTGATAATACAAAGCTTATTGGGGGATGCGGAGTAATGCCGTAATCTTAATTTAATAACCGCCGATTATCCCCCGGCCGGTGCAGCCGACGTATATTGGAATTTCGGAATCTTTCGCGGATGAAGGCCGGAGTTTTGCATAATCCACAAAGAGCTAAGTAACTACAACTCTCTTTACTGCCCGCTTTATTATGTCGCATTTCTCGAATACCCGGAAGTTGGACGGGCTCGACGCGGTACACGTGACTGGTAACTTTTTCGATACAGGATGTGCCGCGGAATGGAAGAAACTTTGGGAGCCTACACAAAAGACTTTCTAAGCTCACTAGGCAATATTGTATTTTAGTTAACATGTAAAATTTCAGGTAGCCCTTTTTAAATCATAATTCTCAATGTTACGCTTGTGAGGTACTATGTCCTATGTCATAGTAGTCTGGTGTCATATTGGGAAAAATCACAAAACCATGAAATGTGTGTTTTTGACTACTCCCATTTATTTTGTAGTTTGTAGTTTCAAAAGTCACGTGACTTAAAACGTGACCTAACGAAGCACCTCCATATCTTTTTAACCGTCGAAAATATCGAAAAAGTAAATCTGGCGTCCCACTAGCATTTCGTTCGAGGATTCCAGCAAACCAAACCGCACCCTTCTAGTTCGAAAAATATAAATTTTACGGGCTGTTCGCCAATTTCAAAAGTCACGTGACTTAAAA